CCCCAAAACCCCAAAACCCCAAAACCCCAAAACCCCAAAACCCCAAAACCCCAAAATGTAAGGTTTATAATATTATATAAAATGAAGAAGGCTTTGACTAAGAAACAGTACGCTAGAAAGATAAAAGCACTTGTTAAGAGGAGAAGGATTCTCGCTGAGAATAAAGCGGAATTGCAGGAGCAAGAGGATATGGAGAAATACAGGGTAGATATCTTTCATAAAGTCCCACCCAAGCCGGCTTCGGTGCAGAATAATGAGGTCAATGGGCTACTTCCGTTTGATGAGGGACAATATCACTGTCAAGAATATAATGATCTTTTGAAAAGTGTTATTCCTATAAGGAATCAATTTGCTGCTTCTACTAGTGAGGAGGAGAGGAAGGCATTAGCGGGGGAAGAAATTACCCACTGGCATGATTATATGCTTCAAAGGGAGAAGGCACTCCCAGATCATTTTAAAATGAACTCCACTACAGTGTCTCTGCTTGAAGATGTCTTCATCAGAGAGTCTGAGAGAAGGAATAAGACTTTAAGGAGCGATAGAGTTATTGATTTCCATTACAAATTTGCACAGAATAGAAGGTTTGATGTTCCTCTTGATCCAAGGAATTTAATCCAGATGGTTCACCCCTTCCACGGATATATGCTCAGCATTGATAATAAGTTCTTTACATTCGATGAGATGGTCAAAATGTACAGGCAACAGCTGGTTTCAAGCTATGAAAGATCACTAGGTCAAACCTTCCTTGCAGGTAAGTGAGGATATTTAATCTCTAGAGGAGCTCTCATGCTTATCCTTTTGGGATGTCATTGATCATGAAAGAAAAGGGTATACCAACTTCCCTGATTTTGTCAGAGTCTTAAAAATGTTCAAGTTCAACCTCAATCCTTGGACTTTGGCAGCCATTAAGCAGGAATTTGAATGGTGACTCAAATGGAACGAGGGCGAGGTGCTCGAGACTGACACTGAGAAAAACTTTGTTGGAAGGTTCAACTTAGCCAGATTGATCTTCCTTGAGCGTGGATTGTAATGTCAAAATCAGTCTCAATATTTATATCTCCTTCTGGGGTTTTGGGGTTTTGGGGTTTTGGGGTTTTGGGG